AAATTGTGTGACTTTAGTACGCGTGCGAAACTATGCCAATGAGCATAGAATCACGAATTAAGTCTCTTAGATACCAGAATAGGCACCGATTACTCGAGGCTGCCTAACTGGTGAACCCAAAGCGGACTCTTTTTGAGAACTTAAGACGTTTCCGTGTCAATGAGCATAGAATATCGAATTAAGTCTCTTAGAGACCAGAACAGGCACCAATTATTCAAGGCTGCCTAACTAGTCAACAACCTGCGGACTCTCCTCTTTCTTAAAGATAAAGAAACTCTATATCAAAGCAAAATTAGATTTTGTTTCGGGTGTTTTTAAACATAAAAATTTCCAAGGTATGTCCAATTAATCAAAAAAAACTACTAATTAAATTTTAAAATAATTTGTAATAATTTATGACGTCATCTAAATTGCAAAACAAAAAAATCGTTTAGCCACCTATCGAGTAAATTAACTTGCATCAGGCCACCTATCGAGTGAATTAATTTGCATCAAGCCACCTATCGAGTGAATTAATTTTGCGTTGAAGGACTTTGAAGCATTTTTAGTCAGTATTACTTCATAATTCTGACACTATTTATAATTTTTGTATTTGTTCTTACAAACTGCCTTTTTCTAATAAAAAACAATTCAGTTGTTATTTAAAAGAAAGATTTGTCATCGGTGAGTAACTGTCTCATAAATATAGAAAGAATATTTAAAAATGAGAATGGCGCTTCAACACTCCAGCTTGTTTATCTAATTTACTGTTTGTTCACGTTATTTTTTTTACTATTGTCATTCGGTCTCATGCAAACATGTATTGAAGCCATTTTTTATGAAACTCATTTAGGTTCATAAGTAAAAAACATCTGGAATATTAACAGGAGAACATTTGTGAACAACGCATTAAAAATTCAACGAATTTCGCTACAAATGCACACTCATAACTTTAACTGGGTGACAAATTAATGAGTTTTCTTTGAAAATACTGGCAGATTCAATTTATAAAAACATTTTTCAAAGCCACAGTGACATTTAAGAATGACGAGATAAGATACTCCATTTAACATCATTTTACTTCATTAAGGCGGCTTGCTGGTCTAGTGATTAAAGACGCCTGATCCTGTTTCGCAGTGCTTGCATTGACTGGATTCGAATATAACCAAAACCCGCCTATCACAGACTTTTTTTATTATTCTTTAAAAACCAGGACCTGACAGACGCTGTTGAAACATGCAAGGCAGTAGTACAAAATTAAACAAAGAAGTTAGTAAATAAATACAAAAACTGAGTAAGAAAAATGTTAATATGTTAATCATGCAGATCCAAAATTGATTCCATCCACCAAGTATTCGTCAAGAAGTTGTGTACACATAGAATTTATTAGGCGCATAAGTTTGTATATAAACAACGTTTTCCAGTTTGCGGACATTATGTAATAAAAGTTACGAAAAAGTAGATTATCATTTAGAAGTTTTCCTGTAAAAAATCAGAAATTATAAAAAAAGACCCCTACCTGTTCTGCTTTGACAAAGCAATGAAAAGTACTGTCATTCATGAACTAGTGTTACATTAGTGATTTTTTATCATTTAATTATTGTCGGAAGTTCAAGCATTGAACCATAATTTTTAGAAAGTTAAATTATATGTTACATTTTGTCATATAATTCTATAATATTTCTTTATATTTTTAAAAGCCAATTTGTTGAATTTAACGCAAATGCTATAAATATTTAATCAAAAAATATTTTTAATTTATCAGATAATAAATTAGATTTAAATGTAAGCTATATTTATTGAATTTTGAAAATGTAAATAAGGAGCTTGAACATCCTGGCGGCAAATTGTTGCAAGGGTCAGTTTGGTTGATGCCACTTCAATGTGTGCAGCTGAAGGAGTATTTTTTTTTAAATTATGTTTTATCTCAAAAAGATATCGTACCAAATGGACAATTCAAACAACGATGAGGAATTCATTAACAACTTCATATATAATCATGCATGCATATATATATATATATATATATATATATATATATATATAGTTTGGTACGAGGTTTTCAGAAAGACATGTTCGATTGAAAATAATACCCCAATTTGTAGTTATTTGCTTTTTAAATAAGACTTCAACAATTAATTTATCAATTATTATTTAACAATTTATTTATTTAATTAATTTATTAATTTAAGTAATTTATCGAATTCTTATTTATTTAAGTCAGTGATTTGGCTGACGGCCGTTTCGGCTAGCGCTAGAACTAAAAAAAAGTTTTTTAGTTCTATCATGCTGGATAATAAAAAATTTTGGTTTTGAACTCAAGAAACTTGGCAATGATTAACAGTTAGAAAAATCGAAAAATTAAACAGGAAGTTAATTAACGGGGAACAAGTTGCGATTTTCATCAGACAGATATATATATATATATATATATATATATATATCTATATATATATAAGCCAGTGTGTGCAACTGTAACAATAAATTAAAAGCACATTCAGACATAAAAATAAACGTGTTTAGTTCTTTTCGTTCATGTGCAAATAAAGATTGTCAGACTCAGTTACTGGGGCTCTGCCCGCTAGTATGATGAACGAGCGTTTGTGTGAATCAATTCGTATCTACTGTTGTGCCATTCTTTTTGCAACTCATGCGTCAAGAATAGCGTTATAAGGATTTCCGTTTTCAAAATGTTAAGAATGTCAGTCTTATATATATATATATATATATATATATATATATATATATATATATATATATATATATATATATATATATATATATATATATATATATATATATATATATATATATATATGTATATATAATAAATAAAAATTGAAATATCGTTATCATTATCGCAGACACATTTTTCATCTTACTGACAGCTGATGGCAAAAATTTGTAAGGGCCAACAATCACAACCACACTCATTTTAACCAACAGCCACCATCACCACCACCACCACCACCACCAACACCAACACCACCACCAACACCACCACCACCACCACCTTCATCCTTACCACCATCTTTATCATTGTTTTACTTCGGCACAAATAGAATAAAAAGTAGAGTTTTTTTTATAACAGATGGCATTGATCATGGTAAGAATTAATTGCGCATGAAACTGTGATGGAAGTTTCAGATAGGTTACGAAACCAAACAAACAGCTGCACCCACTGCAAAGGCGTTTGTTCTTTTTAATTCATGGCGACCACCTCTGAAAATTTCCACCTCATTACGACGACAATCAAACATTTTCGATTGATGAGAAATTGACAAGTACCACCGAATGGGTGAGGGAAAAGATAATTTTACATCGCTTCTCCTACTTGCAATCAAATCATTTCTACATCAATCACAGAAATCATTTAGAAACATTTGACGTCACTGACAACAGAATGCACACAGTTGACAAAAACGATAACAACAGCAGACACAATGCAACAAGACAAATATGAAGAATTTCTAATAACTGCAAACAACAACATCTATCATCAATTTA